AATAACAAGTGTGAATGACAAATTCTACATAATGTCCAACTATGGCAGAGAAGTGCGTGAAGCGCTTCCTATGTGCCAGGCCCTGGGGCACAGAGACAAAAGTGGGGCAGGGGTTGCCCTCAAGGAGCTTGCGTTCTGCTCCCTGGCTGTGAGGGGAGTGTGGTCATGACTATCTTAAAGCACCATGGGGTAGGGTAATGCTGTGAAGGTGAACACTGCCCCTGAAATAATCAAAATCCATGTTAAACCTAAAGCCTGAAACGGAAGACCTAAATGTCCGGGCGCACAATCCCTTCTCCGAAAAGGCATTTATTTCTCTGAGCAGCTTAGGCCTGTGAGCAAAGTTCTCAGCGCTCAGCTGCTATGTTTTATGGGAAATACCCTCCGGTCATAAATAAGGTTACGACATGTCTGGATGACACTTGGAGGGTTGCTGATCCTCTGAGTCAAAGTCCTGTCTGCTGGGCAGCTGTGACACTCCCAGAAGGGAGGCGCATGAGCTGGAATCCCATCCGGCCTGGCCGCCTCTTCCTCTTGGACATGGAGGAAGTGACTTTTGTTCTTGGATCCCAGTTTATCAGTAAAATGGGTAAATGATTCTTGCTCTGGTTCATAGGCTGTTGTGAGGAAAGCACATGATCCTTTGTAATCCCGCAAACTACCAAGAGTAAACATGAGCTAGGGCCCATCTTATCACCAGCATGAAAGCCCCTGTTGAAAAAGAGAAGGACGACAACAGCACGGATGAGTTGACCAGTCGCTAGTCTTTTCTGTCCTTCAGGGCTCCTTTTGCTACTTTCAATGTTCCTTTGCTTCCGCAGGACCTGTGACTGTCAGTGCAGGAATTCCTTCCACCAGTGCAGATTGCCACACATCTGTGACTTAACAGTCATAGGGACTTGCCTATGGTCACACTGTCAGTAAATACTAAGGGCGGGATGTGAACCTAAGTATCCCTGCCTCCCAAGGCCATCCTTCTATCACACTAGGCAATGCTACCTTTCTAATATTTTTCCAGAGTTGTGTAATTCATCCTGCATTTCTGGAAAGGCCCAGAGGCACCGTCATCAAAGAGACTTACATTAAGCATTTAAGTAACACATCCTTCCCCAAACCTGCTGGTAACTCACATTCTATAACAACTTGCCACCTGTTCTTTGTAGATTACTTTTGCATCATTACAAGTAAAAAATCAATACCAGACCATTGATTTGGTAATGAGACAAGACTGCCGGGCAATAATACATAATGTTATCCAAGCCCTATTTCTCAATTGTTTTGAGAGAACAGATAGTTCGAGGACCCTCCTTGAAATAGGTTCCCATATTCCATTTGTGATCTTGTAACAGGAAAGGTGTGGGATGGATGGCCGTCGTTACTCTGTGCATCGATGGGGCAGCTTTTCGATGTCAACATTACCTTAAAATGCTTCCTCCTAGCAATATGTTCCATTACCCACAGAGAAGCAGCCTCTCTCTGCAGTCTGCTTTTTGGCTTAATGTGTGTGTTAAATAATAACTGGTATTTCTATGGGGCTTTAAGGTTTTCAAAGTGTTTTACAAACACTTGTCTCATTTCACCATGAAAGCACATGGTATAACAGAAAATCCAGAGGCCTGGGAGTCCGTAGACCAAGGCACAAGTCTTGGGTCTGACGCTAACTGGCCATGCCGTTGCCTTTACCTCCTGGGTACCTTCCCTCATCTATAGAAGGAAGAGGGGGCAGGGATCAGATTAGATCCTCTGAGGCCCTTTCTGACTCCAACATTTCATGTTATCACTCGATTACAAAAATGTCTAAGTGTGAGAATTGCAGAGAATGAAGCTAAGAGACTCGGTACCAACATGTGCACTACCTTGACAGGTAATGTTATTATTCACAGCACATGTTAAAGGTTCTTGGCATAGCAGATGTCCTTTCCACACCCGATTCAGATGTAACCATCAGCTAGCTATGTTAATCAATCTGGAGCTAAGGAACAGAATTAATGAAAAGGGATGATGGGATTGGAAAAGTCTTGCATTATGCCGCTTCCCCTTGCCCCTCCCTCTGATCCCCCTCCACTCCCCACCGCCATGACAGGACCCATCATGCATTAGGGAACCATCTGATGAGCTCTTGTGGCCAACAAATCCATCCCTTGGCAGCTGACCTCTCTCTGCCCTTAGGGAGGCTGGTCCTCTCCTGCCTGGTGGGCTCCCCAAAGCTTGCATTCCACGCATGTGACCTCCAAGAACCTAGGGTCACCCCCTATGCTGTAATAAGGCTTTGGAGTGGGAATGCTGGTGGATCACATACAGCAGAATGTTCTGGTATTTAAAATATGCATCTTTTAAAAAAAAAGTCACGTCATCTAGACTGAAAGGCAGCATCTGGGTACTTGAGTGTGAGACTCAGAACAGGAGTGAGGCCCTGCAGCACACACTGAGCAGATCTTCTTTGGGGACTCGGAAGAAAGAAGAGACAGCATGAGCCTGGGGCCGGCGAGAGGGACGGGGCACCCCGCCATGATGAATCACACACTGACTTGAGAGTTTCTGACGCCCTTTCACATGATAACGGCGTTCCTGATTTACACGGTCAGTGCTAATAATTTTCAGTGAACTTTTCAGTGTATTATTTAATCCCCATAACCACCCAATGAGGCTGGCAGAGCAAGCAGCACTAGCTCCATTTTTGTAGACGGCAAAGCTGAGGATGTGGCCAAGTGAACTGCCTCAAACGACATATTCTGGAAGTGGCAGAGACTCGACTTGAATCCAGGTCTGGTTCCAAGTCGAGGTCTCTGTCCGTGATACCCCCCTGCCTCTAAGTCTGTCAGGGAAGAGGGGCAGTCGTCAGCATCATACCAGAAGCTTAGCACAGTGTCTGGCACGTCGTAGGCACTTCATACGTGCTTACTGAATGCACTGAACTGAATCACGTACTCATTTGACAGGCAAACAAAGTAAGGCCCAGAGAAGTGAAGGTACTCATTCCAAGTCAGCCTGCCAGTTAGGAATGAAGCCAGCACTAGGACTCAGGGCTCTCAGATCTCAGCTCAGCACGTGGATAGAACATTAAGGAAGCTAAGCTACCAGGCCACCGTCACCTGCCACTTCCACATATCCTGAATTGTATCAATAAGCTGTGGACTGATGGTGTGGCATGCTGGGTACAGAATTTAGCAACGGTAAGACATGTCTTTTCTGCCAACTGACTCAGTTTCTTTCTCTGAAAAAGAAGAGCAGAGCAAAAACTGACTAAAGAGAAAGATGAACCACGGGCCCCATGCCTGCTCGGCTTCTCCGGCAGACTGCGTCCTCTGTCAACCGGCTGCCTTCAAACACATCCGAGTCTCCCCATCATTAAAAAGTCCTATGTCTCTTCTCCCTCTCTCAGGCAAATGCCCTGAAAACTGTGTCTACACTTGCTGCCTCCTTTTCCTTGCTCTCATTCACTCCTTGGCCCCTCGTAATCAGGCTTTGTTCTGACCTCCCCCCAAGTGAAACTGTTCTCTCCAAAGGCACCAATGGGACTGTTCTGCTCAGTCCTCACCCTCCTGGACACTCATGACCGACGTTCTCTGGGCTTCGGTAACATTATCCTCACCTTGTCTGACTCTTATTGACTGGTCTCATGGCTCTTGAAGACTGCTGGCTTGTCAGCCATCACACTCTCTCACCAGGGGTATTCTCCAAGGTTAAATTCTAGGCTCCCTTTTCCCTCCAAATTCTCTGTCTGGGTTTAACCCTCCTCCCTCCGCAGATGCTCCCGCTCCTTCTCATTGTGGAAAGCACGCCCATCCGTCTCCTGGGGCATCACCCCGGCAGGTTCCCCCTCCTCCCTCTCCCCAGCAACGCCCAAGAGTTCGAGGGCTGAAGCTGCTCTTCCTTCCTTTCCTACATCTCTTGCACCCAGCCCTGTCTCCCCACTCACACGGCCCACGGCCTTGTTCGGGGCCTCAGCACCTCTTATCTAGATCCAGCGGCCCACTCGCCTCATCTCTTGTTACAGCGCTTCCTACGATACAGCCTCCCAAGTAATTTTACTAAAATAGATCTGACCATGTGACTCCCCTATCAATCAACCCCTGTGGCTTCCTATGCCTTTAAGGTAAATATTTTGCCCCCACACGACCTTCCATTTCCTGTCTCTAGGCCTTTGCCCTGGCTGTGCCCCATGCCTGGAGTGCCCTCCCTCCTCACCTCCACTTCAAACAGCTCAAGTGCCACCTTCTGCATGAAACCTGTCCTGCCCAGCCGCTGCCAGCTCCCTCGCAAACCTCCCTGCATTTCATTATTTTGTCTATACTTGTGCTTGTTCATTTATATCCATGCGTTTGTTTTCTTGCTCCTAGAACGCAAGCTCGTTGTATCCATAGTGCCCTGCACAGTGACTGGCGTATCACAGATACGTAACAAATACTCAACTGTTTAATCACCGTGTCATGGAGAAGAGAGCCCATGAGTTGGCTTTGTGGAGATGAGGTCAAATCCTGCCTCAGAAACTTCCTAGTTGTGCGACCATTGGTCTCATTTGCAAAATGGGCACAATCAGAGCACCTATCTCCAAGTTATTGTGAGGAGCCAATGAAATAAAAGTGCTCTGCACACCTCAAAGCAATCTACTAACACCAGCTGCTGTTATTCTTTTTTGACGAGGCAATCAGGGTTAAGTGACTTGCCCAAGGTCACACAACTAGTAAGTGTCAAGTGGTTTGTCTGAGGCTGGATTTGAACTCAGGTCCTCCTGATTTCAGGGCCGGTGCTCTAACCGCTGCACCACCTAGTTGCCCCAACTGCTGCTATTCTTACATGGGGGGGGGGTGTAAGCCTGTAGCAAGGCTCTATGAGCCTGGTCACTGAACTCGTATGACACCCGGAGACATGTGAACAACACTTCTTGGGGTGCACATGTCATAAGCCAGGCAGGGTTTCTCTGCCTGGACACTTTCACTTGGCCTCCACCAACGGGGGCCCGTGGCAGGCCTACGAGCCAGACTCTGCAGCCTTCTTACCTTGACAGCATAGCTACTGAGTGGGTCTTTGGCATAGGAGGCCGGGTAGTAGACGGCATCGCCGGCTTCACAACACGGCCTGTCGCTGGTCAGCCGGAAGTCTGACCAGCTGTCCACCCCAAAACGGAGCTGGTCTTTCTGCCCAGCCATGAAGAGGTCTTCACATTTGAGAGCCAGCTTCTTCAGGGCGTCACTGTGCAAACTCCGTATTTTCCCCACCACCTCTTCCCGGTTCTCAATGCCTCGGTAAAGTGCCGTTCTCTGCGGCTTCTGGGCGCTCTTGCCCACCTTGCCCTGCAGTGCCCGCCGCCCCGTCAGGGACTCGGTGCTGGTGCAGAACCGCTCCCGTGTGCCCAGAGTGGTCAGGCTGGAGACACTGTGGGCTCTGGCGCTGGCACGTCGGTCCTTGGGCAGGGGCCTGTCTAGCGAATCGCAGGACTCATTCCCCAGGCCCTTGAGCTCATAGCTAAGGGAGGAGCCGCCACTGCTGGCATCCCAGTGGGCCTCCATGTCATAGGTGGGGTTGGCCAGAAGACACAGACTGTTCTCCAGGGACTTGTGCAGATCTTTGGGAAGAGGCTCCGTGTTGGCCCTCAAGATCGTCTTCTTTGGTAGGGGGGGTGGAGTGGCTTGGGAAGGGCGGGTTACTTCTTGCTCTGTGGTTCCCCCAAAAGCAATGGCATCGTCCACGGCCCCCTTTGGCTGTCGAGGGTGCTTAGGGGGGATCATGGTGGCTCTGGATTGCCCTGTGTGAGAAGAACACAAAACATGGCTTTAAAAATCTGGTGCCTCATCCCTGCCACTTCCATAACTAAGGGGGAAAGGCTCCTGGGAGCTGGAAGCCAGAACTCCACATTCATATGGGAAGACAAGGACCTGGTCAAGGCGGAAGAACTCTAGGTGACCAACTCTAGCTGGATGCGCTAACAGTCACATCCCAGTCGTTTACTCGCTTTGTGATGCAGGAGATGACAAACACAAAGATGTATTCAGCGCCTCTTCTAGGCGAAGGGATGTGCTCAGTACAATATTTGGAGAAGACGCAGTCCTGACATCCAGGTGCTTGTAATCTAAAGGGGTTGCTAAAATTTAGCTGTGCTCAATTTAAAGGTTGGGACAAGAATTCATCAGGCATAAAGGGGAAGGGAGGGCATTTGGGCCCTCCAAGGCACAGAGCAGTTTAGAATGAGGGTGTAGACATTAGGCCAGTCTGGCTAAAGCACAGAGTGTGGATGGGAGCGATATGAGATAAGGCCAGGAGGGGAGACTGGTGTGAGGCTACAGAAGGCTTTATGTGTCAGGGAGAGAGTCTCACCTCCCGCATACAACAACCCTAGTGGCGATCAGAAGGATGGACCGAAGGTGGAGGATGAAGGAGATTTGTAAGGAGGTTACTGAACCTGAACGCAAATGCAGCAGTGGGAGTCAGCGGGCATAGGGAGAGGGGGATGGACTGGAGGCAGGTTTTGGAAGTGGAAGAGATACCTTCCCAAATGAGTGGTTAGGAGAGGTTCAGGAAGAGAGTCCAAGGATAATTTCTATGTTACAAATAGGAGACAGGATGACTGATGATGCCAGGCAGAGAAGGAAGGGCAGGTGTCGGTGAAGGCGATGCCCTGAGCTGTCTAGGAGGAGGTGAGGCATCCGCAGGCAGGACTGGGGCCGAAAAGAAAAGGACTGTGGACAGAGCTAAGCCCTGTCGACACTTCAGGTTTGGGACCCTGTACCAGACCAGAATGAACGAAAGGCGGGAGGAAGACGACAGTCACTGGGGCAACCAGATGCCAAGCCCTCCAACCCCCTCAAAGCTGGTCCTGAATACTTAGAATGTTTTGCTAGCAATGTTAAACCTTCCCAAGTTCTGGATGCACCAGCACTCTCTTTCACTGCAGACAGGTGTGTGCGTGTGTGTAACAAAACTGGACTGCAAACACTAGAGTCCGTGTGTACATACATATGCATGCCAAACACCCTGATGTATCTGGCAGGAGGCGGATCCTCCCGTGGAGAGAGCACCGGACTAGGAGGCCGTACCGCATTTATGTAGGACTTACGCTTTGGACTACCTGGGTGATGTAAGGAAGTCACTTGGTCTCTCATCTGTAAAGGGAGAGCTCAGGTGGGAACGATGACCTCTAAGGTTTTAAATGCTATGGTCCTACGGCTATGAGATTTCTATGTTATCATATTTGTTTCTCCAAAAGTGATGGCATTGTCTATAGTCCCCTTTGGGGAAGGGAATAAGCACTTATATAACATCTACCACGTGGCAGGCGTGGGGCAGCTAGGGGGTGTAGTAGATAGGGCGCAGGGCCTGGAGTCAGGAAGACCTGAGTTCAAATCTGGCCTCAATCACTCACTAGCTGTATAACCCTGGAGAAGTTACTTAACCCTGTTTGCCTCAGTTTCTTCATCTGTAACAAAGAGCTGGAGAAGGGAATGGCCAACCACTCTGGTATCTCCGCCAAGAAAACCCCAAATGGAGTCATGAAGTGGCAGATGTGACCGAAATGACTGAACATCGTGGGCCAGGCACTGTGGCTGATTGCCTTGCAAACATGATCACATTTCATCCTCTCAACTCTGCAAGGTAGGTGCCATCGTCATCCCCATTTTGCAGTTGAGGAACTGAGGCAGACAGAAGTTACCTGACTGCCCAAGACCCTAAAGTCGGTGTTCCCAGTCCTTGGCCGCCTGCTCTACCCGCTGTGCCGCCTTCCTGCCCCTCTGGCTGTTGAGGGTGATCAGGAGGTAGGGATCACAGTGGCTCCGAATTCAACTCCAATGTTCCACGATGACGTGGCAGTCACACTAAACCGCTGCTCCAAGTGGGTGCTGAAAACCACTTTTATCTTTTGGGGTAAATAAATTATGATTTTTGAGAAATGACTTCAAGACACTGGAATCAGTCCCTATAAGGATCATTCATCTCTCTCAGTCAGGAAGCTATCAGTCCATTTCTACCCACCCCAACTAGAACACGGCCCACACACAGACCCAGGTTTCTGCCTGGAGCAATGGACCCTCCTCTGCTAGCAGCTTTCAGATCCGTTGGCTGGGGCTAGGGCTGGGGTGGGGGGTGGGGGGCAAAGGAGCTGCTATGGACATCATGAAATCAAGCTGGAGACACAATGCTACTCCTAATGGTCACACAGACTCAGTGAATAGCTCCCAAGGAGCAAAAGAATAAACAGAAGTGATGAGGGGTTTAAAAAAAAAAAGAAAAAGAAAAAAGAAAACCACCACAACTTACAAACTCTGTTGGCAATTATAATAATACATTCCATTTCACCGCAAAACGTTCACTTCGAAGGGCTTTGTAAATGATTACAATATACAGGGAATCTAAAGATCTCCCATTCCTCCACTGAAATGCAGCAATATTTTTTGACAATATAGGGAGCTCTATTATAGATGATTCTTTAGGGCTGGAAGTGAACCGTCATTAAAACAGTGTGGGCTGTATAAGGGAGCATATCATGGCTGACTGAATAGGAACTCATACAGAGGAATGTTTCTTACAAATGGTCAGAGATCCAGTTTTGTCCCACTCTCTCCCACCCTTGCTGGGAGGGCCCGAGGCTTGGCCAGGGGTGTTGGGGCAGCTCTGCAGTTAGGAAGGGGAGGAGGGTGGATGGCATTCACAAAGTCATCCATACTACTTCCTGGAGTGGCTAGATCCCTCCCAACCCTGACAGAGGAAAGATCTGATCTTTCCACCTGAACCATAGGCCCTCTACATTTTCTTGGCTTCTGAGAGATGAGAGAAGTCCAGGGAGACAAAAGCATTCTTCATTCCTTAATGTCTAGTGATTCTGGGCTTCTAAGGATGGAAAGGCAGGGGAGTGAAGAGCAGCAGAGATGCTGACTGAAGGAGGTGAAAGAAGAGACCTGTGCCTTTTTCTTGACTCTGACCCCGACTGTGGGACCCTGGGCTCCCTGTCTTTGACCTTCATGGTCCTTCCAGATCCGACATTTTATAGCTTTAAGGAATTCCTGGTAATCCCAAAAAAGGTGTTTGCCAGAAAGTTAGAGTGAGGGCTTTTCCGACAGCCATTTATGCCTGGAGAGGAAGAGCACCACTCCTTCCCAAACATCAACACTCTCCAGTCTAAAGAAAGAAAACAACCCCCTGGGACATGGGAGGGATGCCAACAAAACAGCCACCTAGGTGGCACAGTGGATAGAGCACAGGCCTTGAAGTCAGGAGGACCTGAGTTCAAATCCGGCCTCAGACAAACACTTGTCACTTACTAGCTGTGTGACCCTGGGCAAGTTACTTAACCTCAACTGCTTGAAAAAAAAAAAGACAAACAAAACGGTCATCTTCTCTGGGGGGTACCGGGGAAAGCGGCTGGCTATAGAGTGTGAATCCAGGCTCGGCTACTTCCTATCTGTGGGAGCTGTGGTGGGACATTTCATCTGTCTTTGCCTCAGTTTCCTCATTGGTAAAATGAGGTTGCTGGAATACCTATGGACCTCTGGAGGACTGGAGTTACTGCAAGGGATCTGTGAACCCATAAAAAAGCAAAACGCCTTCTGTAGTCTGAATAAAACAATAGGTTTCTCCCATTTATTGCTATTCTTCCTTTTTCATCTCTTTCGTTGAGCCTGGCTTTCCCGCTCGTGCCCAGATTGGCTGTGCAGTGACCAGTCACGGGCTCAGTATCAATACTGAAGCACAGAAGCTTTAACTGATGCTTTTCCAACCTGGGTCAGTTCACACCCCTCCTTAGGGATCCTCCTCCTGGAGGTCCTCCGCTCACGGGGGCTCACGGGAGCCAGATTTAGTGCAGACACCTCAGAACTCCCAAGCCAAGTGATCCACCAGCCAGGGCCTTGCCCCCCGCGAGGACTCACAGGCACCATCAGTCCTGGGCGTTTTTCAAACACATTTAAGATGCTGTTGTGATTGTCATTAGAATATAAAATCATTTAAGGGTTACCAGATTCTTAGTAGCCTTTCTGTGTGTGTGTGTGTCATTACGTATTTTCTCAATCAATGGATAATTATCATGTGGAGATCGGTGAGTTTTTGATGTTTAAAAGGGAGTCTTTATACACAAAAAGGCAGACAATCGCCACACAAGAGGATCCACAGCTAAGGCCCCTTCTGGTTTCAGACGCTATGATATTCCCTGGTCAAGATGCACCCAGGCTGTTAGGCAAGACCACAGACTTTTGCCAGCCTGCTTGGGGCCCTCGAACTTGAACAGAAATCTTCCTGACCAAGAGTCAGCACTGCTGCTCAGAGTAGTGAAAGGGACCAGGCTGGAACAAGGACAGATGTGAACACTAGCTTCCTCGCCTCTCAGGCAGTGGTGGGCGACCCCTGGGAACAGAGCCGGGACTCTGCCAGAGTCTGAGATGTGGGAGCCAGCAGCTCGCTTCGCTCCAAATAAAACTACTTCTCAAGCCTGCAGCCCGTGCAATTGGGTCAGGGAGTTCTCCAGGTCTCCAAGAAGTTTTCCCCTAAGAAAGGCAAATTCTTCCAACTGAATTCCAACCATCTGGATCAACGTTCTAAAAGCTTTCACATTGGAGCTGTTTTTATTTTAAACTCTTAGCTCCACACATTCCTCTCATGCCTCTGGGCCAGCCCAAAAACTCAGCTTTCAAAAGGCCTTGTGCACTCCATTTTTGTGTCTCTTTGAAGAGAAAGGCAACATTGTGCTGCAGATCTTGTCTTTATATGATGGTTTTTTTTAAAGGAATCATTTCAGATGGAAGGGGCTCCTTTGTCACT